TTTTGATTGTCGTCGGTTCATCTTCATTAGGATATCCACCGGTTAATATAACAGAATCCCACCACTCTACATTAGGCACATCTTCACTGAGAGCTTCAGTTTTAGGTGCAATAAGAGCTAATTTGGTTGCTGAACTGATTCCAGTTTTTCTAGCAATTTGACTAATTTCATTTTGCAATTTCTCTAACTGGGTCTTCATGCGCATTCTTTCTGCTAATTGTTGAAATTTTCCTGGTTCATGAAACTTCAATGCACGTTTATTACGCATTGCTGGTTTTACACCTATTCTATTATCAAAAAAATGAGTATCTTGTATTTCTTCTGGACCTTTTGACTCTTGTAGTTGAGCTTTAAATTCTTCTCTTTTCTTTGCACGTATATTAGCTTTTAATGTAGGCACTACTTGAGTAAGTTGCACTTCTTTGCCAGTTATGTCTACTGTTCTGCCAGATTCATCCAAGATTAAGGGTGTTGGTTTGTCTGGTACATTAACATTGCTAAGTAATCCTGAGTTTAATTTATTTCTAATTTGCGCTTGTAACGCAGCTATTTTTCGTGCTTTGTCCGAATCTGTTTTACTTAATAGGCCTTGATTATACATGCTTCCTACCGTTGGTAACGTATCACGTCCTTTAAACGATGGTTTTGCAGAAATATCCTCTTGTTTTATTGCCTTTAAAGCTCTTTTCCTTTCTTCTATTTCTCTTTGTGCATTAGCCATCATTTGTTTTATCTATAAAAATAGAAAAAATAAGTAATTATAATGGAGCACTTAAATTATTAAAATAATATATAGAATTATTAAATGTATAAAATTTTTTAGTACCTTATCTGCAGAAAGTTGAGCCTCCACAGGTTTTTCAATTTTAGTTTCATCATCCTTAAATCTTGATTTCTTTGCATCTTTGTCTTTATCTTTATCTTCAGGATGAGAACGTTTCTTATTTTTTTGAGCTGCTTTGGTATCATCATATATTGTAAATATTTTCTCTGTCAATTTAGAAGCTTTCTTGTCTTCTAATAAAGCCGATAATTTATCTGCAAACAATTTTAATGTATTACATAAAAATTATATATATTTCTAGATATATATGAAGTAATATAATCTCAAGTGCTAATAATAAAACTCGCAAAATTAGTCATGGAAAATAAATCAATATGTATTTTTCAATACTAACCTGCTGTTTTCCGCTTGTCGTAACCAGAAGTGATGCAGTTGACAGCGGTAGTAACAATTGCTGGTTCGCTAAAACCAAGGAATTTATGGACCGCTTTTTCAATCTGCGGTTTCATTTCGTCTATTTCTTTTCTCGTCAAATAAGACATTTTTCGAACTTTATTTCACTTAACAAATATTCAATAGTTCACTAATTCTCGTAATAAAATTGATATTTTCACAATATAAGCATTTTATCACCGTTAAGGTTAAGCATCTGAATACTCTACCGTGTACACGGTTTGCAACATTGGTCACATTCAATGGAGATTCTCGCGCTTATGCGCTAAGCAGTAGTCGAACATGATTGGTTATTACTCTTAGATCCAGCTTCGACTATTATAAAATTTAACGACTTATTTTGTTAAACATGCTATATTAAATTTTATGTAATACTGAGATTTCTTATTATTATGTGCAATAGTATTTTTGTTTCGTTTGAAACGCATAAGATTTTAGCAAAGTTTAATTGCTACCCCAATCTGGTAATATCGACTAATTTTTAGTTATTTTTTTCCTTGCAGTTTATTGCCAACGTCCACAAATTCCCTAGCCATGTTCGCACTATATGTAGTTCTGTACATGAATGAATATATGTGCATGTAAATACAAATGTAATTTAAAATATAGTTTAATTTTTTTTAATTTTAAATAATTTAAATAAACAAATTGAAACGTTTTATTTCTTCTTTCAAATTTTATTGTTTCAATTAAAGTATCTTCCATTTAACGCTTGCAACGTTTGTGCTCATTATTTGTCCTTGATTAACGTTCTATAAATAAAGATTCTAGAAACAATGTCAACTGGAATATGCATTTTTATACTAAATAATCTTCTATATTAACTTACGTAGATTTATAAAAAATTAGTTACAAAAATACATAATTTTAAAAAAATATTGATTAAAATATATGTATAATATTTATCATAAATATACGTGAAAAAATATACATGAGATACACATGAGATATACATGAGATTACAGATTTTATCGTATAGTATGTTCTCATATGGATAATATTTACATGCGAATTATTTCCCGATATTCTCTTGTCTATTTTCCTAATAATGAACTTACATTGAAGCGAGAAAAGCCCTCAAGGGAGATTTAGATAGTTTCTCGTAATTGGCACACATTGACTCTTAACTTGATTTTCAAGTTTGAGAGACTATACATATACAATACGTTAAGCACTTTTGCATGTATGCATCGCGTTAATGAAAGAGATATTCGTTTCATCACAATGTATATATCTTCTCTACATTGTAATCATTAATGTAATATTAAAAAATGGTGCATTTTTACACGTCTCTAATATCTTAAATATGTTTTTAAAAACCGCAAATTTTATATCACAATTAATATAAAAGAACAAAATTTTCTATTTTTAGATTTAAAATTTTTCTTTAAACTATGTTCTATGTTATTTATTATTTAATTATCTCTAAAATTTTTTAAAGAAGTTAAGGTATTTTTATTACTAATTTTCGAAAAATAATGTGAAAAATAGTCTTTTGACCTGATTTAAAAAACGTACAATAGAATCAAGAAGACAGAAAAGAAAGAAAAATAGCAAGATTTCTAAACTTATTATTTCAAAATTATATTTACGTTAGTCCATCTAAAAGAAAGAAGATATTTATAAAAGAAAGAAGATAGAACATAATTTTAATTGATAAATATTGATGATAATTGATTAATTTATAAATTAAAATCTAGAATATTGGTATAAATATTATGTATCTAAAATTCTTTCGCTACGTAATTATAGCAAGATAATTTAATCGAAACATTGCGTGAGAATCAAATGGATTCCGACGTCCATTTCGACCATTTTCAATAGTTTCGGCATATACTGAAGCACCGAACAATCAATCACTATGCATCTTACGACCGTTCGGAGGAGACTTACAACGGTAACGTGATGTTGCTGGAACGAAATATACGAAGGTGTAAAGGACGAAAGCGGTTGCGAGGGCGGCGGAATGGCAGTGGACCGACAACCGCAAATGAGAATGGCAGAGGGAACTACGCTGTTCCACGCTTCTCTGGTGACCGATGAGGCCAATTCTGCGAACCACATTTGCTTCATTCCGAGGCTGTTGCTCTAAACTTTTCTGTTGATTGAAATGAAGGAATTGGAATTCCGCACCACGTTTCCTTTGTTCAGGTTAGGCATCAATTAGACTTAATTGGCACATATGATGCCATGAGATATTACTCGTTTATTTCTACTCTCAGTGAAATACGTGATGATCGTGAAAATTGTAAGATAAACATGTGATGATTAACATCATGCGATAGTTAATAAATAATTATTTTGGAACTGAATGTTTTATATTACTGATATATGAAAGCGCTTTATTCATCTCATTTTATATGGGTATTGCATCAATCATATACCGCTCTGTTTACAGATTTTATACGAAGTAGTCCATAATTTTGTCTGAATTGAAAAATTTGTGTGCTAAAAACTTATTTAAAATTGATTGGCAGATATATTTGTGTGCTTAAATTAATACGTTTAAATTCTGATACGTTTAAATTCTGAATAATTGAAAATGAGAGCAATATTAATTATATTAACTGAACATATGTAAATCTTTATTTTTAATTGTTATATAAAGTTCACAAATAAAAATTTGTTATTTTCAAATAACAAAAAATAAATATTATGCATATATGTAAACTTCATCAAATTATGCAAAACTGATATTTGCTTCTAACAAGTTTTAATAAATTAATACAATAGAACTAAATTAGATATTATTAATTATAAATCTGTTTTAGTTTAGTTTTGAATTTTGAATAGGGAAGATGATAAAAAGATGTACTTTATCGGAATTTGTAATGAAGAATTACACTATGGATATGGATACAAAAGAAAAATAAATTTAAATATTCTATGAGGATCTTTTGAGATATTACAAAAAAAGAAAATGTTGTAGAAATCAGTGTGTTCAGTCACCCAAGCTTAAACTTTCAACTACGGATACTCATGCACGTCGCTTGATTTGTATTCGCTAGTAAAAGTTATGCCATAGCTATCTGTTAGGCAAATTACTACAAAGTAACTGGAACTGACTGTTGATATGAAACAGGTTATCTAGCGTGAACGTACCACACAATTCCTGAATCCAAGAGAGAGAGAATTTGTAAAATTGAACTTTATTCTAGCTATATGAATTCACTTCATGGAAAAATCAATTACACATATTTCAAACTCTTTCTGATCATGTTTTTCTGTAAAAAGATATGTGTGATCTGAACCATAATGATCGACTATAATCTCTCAAAGGATAGATTTATATTAAAAAAATTTGTACAAAGAAGAATATTTAGAATTTTATAAATTGCATGCAAATCGAAAATAATTTAGCAGAATAAGGAAAGGGAGTGACCTGATTTCCTTGCTTTACCGATATACTCACATTGACTTATTGTCTTTTACTATAAAAGTTATGAATCGTAAAAATTTCGCTTTAACTACTACTATTTTATTTTATGGAAACTGTAACGTTTAAAGATAGATAAAATAAGTGGACGTAAATACTGCATTTATGTAATCGCGGTTCGTGTTTTGTACAAACTAACTTTTTATCGATAACGATCTGATACGGGCAAGGGTCGCTGTAACTTTTAAATAATCTGCTTTACGTCGCAAATCTTCATCAGAAAAAGAACTTACATTTGAAGAATCTTTCATCCTCTTAAAACAGACCCTGCAGACGATGCACCTTTTCAGAATAGACCGATACTTTTTTTCTTTTTTCTTTTTACGATCGCGTTCTTCGCTTGGCTCTTGACTGTAGTCCATATCTATTTCCGCGAAACCATAAAATTGTAGTGCTCCCATTCCTGTAGCTTGATTGTAGATAAGTGGTAGAATTCGTAGAGTCCTTATCCATAAGATATACCGTCAACGTCTCGATAATCGCAAGAAAACCTCATTAATCGACCACATTCGCGAGATCCGTTTATCACTGTAATTGATGCAACTAGCTTTCGCAATTTAGAAGCAACGAATAATCACGAAACTGCAATGGAAATACGAATTGTCTCACATAATTATTCAATTCTAATGCAATATATAGTGTGCTGATTTGCCTAAATTAGCGTTTAGTTTGCGATCATCGCTTTTTTTTCTCTGCAAATACAGTAGATCGACGAAAAAAATTCTTACATTCGTGATAGTAACAATATGATTGTGCAAAAGAATAATATACTATAAGCAAGTTATATTCAGTCATTACGTATCGGGTCAGTCGTGTTTCTTCGTAAATTTAACGATTTTGCCAGTAGACGTGGGCACGTCCCAAAATGATGTACGGTTCGCTCGTATGAGTCGGTAGCTAATGCTCTAATATGCGCAAAGGGTGCCATGCCCGTGTCACGCGGATTACCGCTAATTGTAGTTTATGCTTTATACTACGCTATTCTCTTGTACGGCCGTTGGGTATTCGATGTATTAACGGAGATCTGCGTGCGTGTGCGTACGCGTACACAGAGAGGCAACGCCTATCTACACATCACGCACGCAAAGATACGTGACGTAGATCGTATACGTACATGTATATTGATGAATCTATGTACCTATACGATAGAGGTTCCCAAATTTTGTAATCATTAACTACCCTAACTTGTCGGCTTTATGAGATAAATCGATATTTTTCATTATTTAACATAATAATATTTTTTTATTAAAAATAAAATATTTTTAGATTCAAGAAATTTTTATACAGATTATATACGTATGTATTTCGTTCAATATTTAGAAAACTTAACGTAAAGAACAATTTATAAAATATTTTTTAATTAGGTTTAATATATATAAAAATATATGTATATTGAATACGATTAATTAGCAGCTTTATTTCTTTTAGGAAAATATATATGATTTTAAGTAATGATAGTTATTGAATTATAAAATAATTAATGTGGTGTGCAAAAGCTGGAAAGCAATTATCATTTGTCAAACATATTATAATTTCCGAATATAAAATTTTACAAGATACAAAAGATTTTAAAATTGTCCAAATATAATTATCAATATTTGAAAATATGCTGATTAGAATAAAACGATTATCCTCATATTTATTCACTTGTAATGTTTACCGTTTATCATACATCACAATGTTAGCTCACAATTAAAGCTCAATGTTCCAAAACAAATTCGAAGTTTAGTCTGTATGACGTGGAAATTCAAAATATACGGAGAGAAAGCGGGCTTTTTGTGAAAAAGGAAAGGATGTTTTCCGGCGAAATGGTGAAATTAGCAATTGCCAAGAAAATGATTAGCGCAATATGACATGTGAGTGGTTGAGC